GCCACAGGGAGAGTTTGAGTGCCGAAGGTTCCGCTGTGGTCCTTGGAGATCCAGGAACCTTCGTTAATTTCACTAGAGGATGCCCACCGAGGGGTTTTAGTAGGATTCACCTACTAAAACCTACCTACCTTCCCCCAGAAGGCAAGGTATCTTTTGAAGATTTCCCCCCAACACTAAAAAAAAGGAATAGTGGCGTATAAGACTAGAGCCACCAAGATATTTGAAAAGACATATACTTTGTAGATGTTTTTTGCAACCACTGTACATGATTCGAAGAACTTTGGTTCTGCTTTAATTAGTCGATAAATAATGTAAATAATTAATTTATGACTTTTTGACAAATAAATATTAACTTTTTAATAATTTGTTTTATTGGAAACAATGTAAGTAAACTATTTAACGCGCTAAGAGGCTAGTGGTTATAGGTTATTTCCAATCTAGGGGTCGTGGTTACGAATCCCATTCGACTATTGTCAAAAACTATATCCTATCACAATTCTAAAGCTAAGTTGGAATGGTTACAATAAATGTTATTAAATAAAAAAAATCCGAGAACATCAATAAAATATAAACGAACGTAATAATTTAATATCATTAAAGATTTTCTTTTTATCAGACTATATACTGGGTAAGTACTTACTTTTTATAATATTTAGTGTGTAAAACCCTAATAGGATAAGATATAACAGTCAAAGTCTATAATACAAATAAAGTATTTAAAAAAGGTAATGAACCTTATTAAAAGTCAGGTTTACGAGTGCTGGGATTTTCCCTATCAGACGTGCGCACGCGCACAAACGTTCATAATTGTCAGTCATAAATACAACGCGATGAAGAACGGACGTGTGGCGGTTATTATTTTAATTGCAATATCAGTTACGATAGTCGAATGCAAAGTGTTTACAAGATGTCAATTGACCCGCGAACTCTTAAAGAATGGATTCTCAAGGACGTTTATTAGTAATTGTGAGTTAATATTATTTAACGAATAAAACAAATGAATTAAATATGTTTTTATGACTAGTATATAGACAGAATAATTTATATAAACATGTTTTATCTACATTTATTTTATAGAAGTGCGCACAAAATTTCGTTGTTTTTATTAAAATTAATTGTGGTTACGTAGGTTAATATGGTTACTAGCTTTCGCCCGCGACTACATTCGCGTGAAAATAAAAAAAAACAAGAGTGAGTAGTCTATGTTTGATGTCAAATTTCATTGAAATCCGTTCAGCTGTTTAGGCTACAAATGTGAACAAACATCCATCCATCTTAACTTTCGTATTTATATTAGTGTGATAAGTATTTTACTTAACTACAACTTATCAAAATGATTTGTAAATCATTAACCTCATTTAAGTACTTACCGTTTGTTATTTGTAAATACCGTCACACTTGTCGATAAAATTGTCTTTGAATTATTGAAGAAAATTAAATATTCGAATATACATCTTATTTATCAGACTATTATAAATCTAAAAGTATGGATGGATGTTTGTTAATGCATATTACTAAAGCGTCTTAACAGACAACATAATCTAGAACGCAGACGACATAGTGTTTTTTTTATTTATTCCTACCAGAAGTCGTGGGTAAAAGATTGTTTTCTAATATTCTCGACCTTGACCTATAGGTTTAACTTACGAGATACCTGTCCATGTTGTTTTAGTCTTTTACTCGTTGGAAATAGATTTGCCTATGTTAAATTCTATCCTGCAATTTACTTACACTGTGTTAAATTGCATCACATATCGTATTGTTTGTGTATCCATTGTGTTACGATTCCAGTTGGAATTCCGTACCGTGTGCGTAGGTGACATTTCAATACACCCGAACAAGGTCACTTGCAATATACAGTATGTAATAATTGAAGTATTTATTTATTTATAATGCTTGTATGGATCCCTGAAGGGTAAAAGCCTCCTCCGACGTTGACTAGTGCTGTCTTTCCTTCGCCACGTCCAACCATCCCGCACATAATTTATAACATTATAAATGCGAAAGTTTAGATGGATGTATGTAGCCTAAACTACTGAATGGATCTTGATAAAATAAGACATAGTTATAGATAGTCTGGAATACATAGGCTACTTACTTTATTATTCCACGCGAGCGGACTCGTAGACGAAAGATAATATTTTCACAGATTATAAAATAATTTTAAAGATAAGTGAAATTGTCAGAGTTAATTCAATAATAAAGATTTCGTTATTAGGAATGTTATATCCTACAAGTACATGTATGACTTTAGTCAAAGGGTTCGAGTTTAAAGAATAGGTTAGTAGGTTCCATTTCTGGAATACCTGTACATATTTCGGTAATGGAAGCCGACCGTCTTAAGTACTGCATAAACCTACATACAAACTAATATGAAAAGAGCGAATTGATAATAAACACATCTCGCATCCAATGTTTAGAAAGTATTAACGGCATTAAATTATTTACTTACAAAATCTTATCTCCTGATATGACACAGAAAGTAAAAACATTTGTGAATGTATCTGCATAGATACGTCAACGCATTGGTAAACATTTTTTTGTAGTTAAAACAGGAAATGCGTCATATTTTGTCCGCACTTTTGCTTTTTTTTACATAGTAATTTTTAAAAATAATAATTTTTAAAAATAATAATTTTTAAAACTTCTACAAAATTTCATATTCCTTACTTCATCTTTTTTTAAAGTTTTTTAAAAGTCCCATATTCAATTTTTTTTTTACATTTCAGGGGTATGCTTGATAGAACAAGAAAGTGACAGGAATACATCAGCATATCTTGCGAAGACACCTAGAAGAAAGTACTATGGACTTTTCCAAGTAAGTTTTTTGTTTTTTAATGTTTATTCAAATTTCGACGTATAAAAGTGTATTCACCTTCGTTGCAATCGTTAACTGGTCCCTAAGGAATAGAGCGGGAACACCTTGGATTAGACTGTCCCATAAGATTTATAATTCTGACGTACTTAAACATAAATAAGACAATATAAGTGACCAAGAAGACACGACAAATAAAAAAAATAGAACGATAGACTCCCAAAAAGACTAGACATAAAAAACCCACTTACATTTTTTACATCATTTTTTAATTTATTAATATTGCTTTTAATATTGAAACTAACAACAACTCTAGGGCTTGTGTCAGAAGACTAGATTTTATATCTTTTTAAAACAAAATGTTAGTAGATTTTTGTTAATTTACTAATGTTTATTTTACCATTTCAAGTAAGCTCTAGGGTTTGTGCTTGGAAATTGTTTACGATAGTCGAATGGTGGGATTCGAACCCTCGATCACGCGACCGGAAATACGTAACCCTAACTAGGCTATTGGAGTTTTAAATTAACATATTGAGTTTAAGGTATTATTTCATTTTATTATATTTGTTACAGCTCTCCTTGATGAAGACATCCGCGACGACGGTGTGTGCGCTCTGAAAGTTTTCGAACAAGAAGGATTTAAGTACTGGTCGCGTTGGGAAGCGCGTTGTAAAGGACAAAATTTACCTGATATAGAAAAGTATGTCGAATGATGTTGAGTTATTTTCCTACCATAGTACTTTTTTAACAACCTTTTAATGAAACAATATGATTATAATCTTTACAAGGAATCTTATCTCTGTTATAAAGACGATACTATCTTAATCTTTTTCAAATAAAAGTCAAATTATATAAGCTGTTATTAAGGACTACAGTACATGTGAAACAAACAATAATTATATTCCTAGTATAAAATAGCTTCAAGTTGAAAACAACGCCATCTATTAACATAAAAAAGAATGGATTTAGTCAGAAATTTGATATTTCGTTAATTTTTTTTTCTATAGATGTCCAGATTGGCAATACCCAACTAATCGTGCTTCTCCGCCGAGAGATAAACGTACTTTAAGAGGTCGAAGATCAGCTTTAAGAAGAAAACGTTTTAGTTTATATTTGGAGCAAACCAAAGCGTAATAGTATTGTATTTATAAAATTGTTATCTGTTTAATACTTTTTAGTACAAATAAATTTATATAAATTAACGTCTTTAATATCTTCCATTCCAAATATGTGTAAATTTTATTCTACACAATTATAATAAATCCGAATAAAGGCTTATTATTATTCTATATTAATATTATAAAGAGGAAAACTTTGTATTTTTGTATGTATTGTAATAACTCAAAAACTACTGGGCCAATTTAAAAAATTCTTTCACCATCAGAAAGGTAATTTATCTGTAAGTAACATAGGCTACATTTTTATTATTACTAATGTTTAGCAACTATTAATAAACAGCGTGTTTCTGGACGCCGTCGTTAAAAATTCACTAAACTTTAACTTTTCTCGGTTTACGCTGCCTACACCGTTAGAGGTATATAAAAATGATGTATGACAGAATTGTAGATTTAAAAAAGTTCTAGAGAAAAGTCCGCGATAGCATTTATATATCTTTAACGGTTCTCTTACAATCGCCGCTTTTTTGTTTACAAAATGAATTAAAAACCTTACGCTATTTGCAGCGTTCTTTTATTGGTTTCAATATTAGTCCTTATCCAAATAAACGCGTTTGTTATCAGGAGAATTTAATGTAGAATAAAATTGTCCTTTCCCGTATTTAAATTGGACTGATAGTTTAGAAGATATCGCGAACACAAACAATAAGGCTAACCGAAAAATCAGCTTACAAGCTACCGGGCTTAGAAATTTGGAATCTTGCATCGGTAGATTTCTGCTGTTACGTAGATTACTACTAAGTTAATACTTTTGGTAATAGGTTGAAAAAAATGGCGATCGTAATAGTTTATATTTGTTATTTCACGCGGGCGAAGTCGCGAACAACAGCTAGTATGTTTGTATGTATTGAAATAACGGAAAAACTACTGGGCCGATTTTGAAAATTCTTTCACCTTTACGAAGGTAATTTGTTGTTGATTATGTGTGAGTAATATAGGCGTAAATGTTTTACAATTTTTTAATTTTACACGGACGAAGTCACGAGCAACAACTAGTATACGTATAAAGTTAGCAAAATCATTATTTCTTTGATTGTAAAACTCTTTTACTAACGTTTTTATACAATATCATGTTCAATTATCCATCATTTAGATTATAATTAAGTGGTTATTAACTTTTTTACAGAAATTAAGTAAGCAAGTTTTGAGAACAAGGTGAAATAGCCTTTTGTTTGAGTCAGTAACAAAACTAATAGTTCGTAATATTTTAATTTTAGAAATTTTTCCCAGAAAATGTTTATTTTTTTTATCTCTCCATCGTATGAGTGTCATCGTATCTCTCTTCCATCGTTTGTCGTGCGCACAGCAAAGGAGTGGTATAAGTTGCCGGCGTCATTGTTCCCGTCAAGTTATAACATGGGTGCCTTTAAGAGCAGGGTGTATCGGTACTTACTAAACTAGCGCGTACCATCCTTCGACCACATCTTCACCTTGGTCTAGGTGGGATAGTGGTCAAGCGCTGGTTTTTTTTTTTTAAAATCTCTCATAGATATTACGCTTACAGCCTAATTAAAATTTGTACTAACATTTGCTTATACTCAGTTTATTCGTAAATTTAACTTTATACCGCGTTTATTTGTAAGGCTGTAAAGTTTAACTACAGGTTCTGGTTCCTTGTCACGTTCTTAGGTTGAAGGAAAACATCGTGATGGAACCTACATGGGAAAAAATTCAAAGCGTCTAAAGTCGAGAATTTCGCAGCGTGGATGACCATGCCTAGTTATCCATAATATAAGGAATAAGATACGTAAATACGACGGTCTACATATTAAATCAAAATAATCTAGTTAAGTTACCATCGTCATAAATGATGACCCTTCTTATCACCAGACTATAAATAAAGACCTTATCATAATTTCTACAAATGTTTCCACAGCAATCAGTTTTATTGCGAATCCTATTAAGATAATGAAATTATTAACTAGGTAATACATTTATTATAACCCCACAAACTTCGTTAGCGCGGAAAAAAAAGTAATATGCCCGGTCACAGCTTCAGGTATACTTCGGTGAAAGTCCCGTCAAACTCGGGTTAGACATTTCGGAGGTTACTCGGAAAAAACGCGGATTACATACAGACATAACCAAAATTTTTAAATCGGTTTTCGTTTTCAACAACACATAACTACTTCATCTTTGTTATGGTTTTTCATATACGATATTACTTCGCCATTCTTGAGAATTATGATTGAATGTTGATGGCTACAAAGGTAGAGGAAGACCGAAGAAAGTACGCTTGGATTGTGTGAAAGAGGATATGCTTAAGAAAGGAGAGGACACAGATATGACGGCTGATAAAGATGTATGGAAGAGCATACTATGCCGATCCTCCGTAAGGGATAAGGGTATGTAGATGTTTGCTTTTTTCTTACCTTTATAATTATACTCCAAAGAAATAAACATGAAATTATATTAACTGGATTTTGACATCAAAGAAATAAAAGAACAAATCTATTACTGCTTTCACAATATTTCAATAACAAATAGTGATTACATGTAATTGAACGTAAGAAATTACGAGAGATTTCTTTGGCAGTCTTATATGAGTTTTCCCGTGGGTCATATTATATTGGTTTGTCATTTAGATAGTTTATGAGTTTAATCAAGGCATTCCTTTCCTCCCTACTGCCAAATTACATTCTACATGGAGCATATCACTTTAAGAACATTTTCTAGGATCATAATTTATCATTAATGATAAGAGAGAATATAATTTGTCTAAGAATTTGAATTTTAGGTAAATAATGTAATTATAGTGTGACAATATTAACTGGCCAGAGACTTTATCACGAATTTTCTTGCACAATTTGTAGTAGATTTGTACAGCGCCCCTACCGGGCATAAAGTAAATCACCAAACATACAAATTTTGTCGATGAAGTGACGAATACATTCTCGCAATTATCGAGGAATTGTGATAGACATCTAGCGGTCAAAAGTGAAACGAAAGATTTACAAAAGTTTGACTGTGGATAAAGTATAAGAGCAGTAAATTATAAAAAAATATACTTTTATTGATAAAAATATTAACATTAACAGTTTAAAAATCTTTGTAGTTCATCGTTGTTTAGAAATTAAGCCATTCTGGACATCTGTAAAAAAACACAATATTAAAGTTTAATCAAGTTTAATAAATAAATTTTAACAGTGGTAAAACACGCTTTAATATCTTCCCACGAATGCGCCTGGTGTAATACTACGACCACAGAGAAGACAGGCGTGAAGTGGAAGCAATTCCGCGTTTCGTCTGATGAATGTGGTGCCGGAGGCCTAATTTTAGTCCTTTTACCTTTTCACCCTTTTCATAAGAGGAGAGGTGGGAAAGGAAAAGTGTATTTGACGGTGGTGGAGACGCATAAGAAAGGGAAATATCCTCTTAATATGCGTCTCCTCCTTCGTAAAATAAGGGTAGGAAACGCATTTGCAATTGCGGATGTTTTTGGGGAACGGTCGCTTTTCATTTCGATGGATTCAGGTGGCGGCTTGCTCGTTTGCCATCTTATAATATAAAAAAAATCAAACACAATTCTCTAAATTGTAATGAATGATGATGATTTTCAATTATCATCAGTTAGCATGCAATGTGATAGCGATAAGCGCGAATAGACCAATGCGACCATTCGCGTAGTCTATAGACTACCGATCTTGCGGTCGAGGGTTCGAATCATGGCATTCGACTATTGTCGTGAACCATATTCTAGCACAAGCCTAGAGCTTAGATGGAATGGTTATAGGGAATATTAGTCAATTAACAAATATCTACTAATGTTTTTATTAAAATAATGTGATAAGAATAAAGAGGCTGAAAAGACTCAAGCGACGAAAAAGAAGATGCAACATTATTTATTAGAATATTATATTTAGTTAGTTGAAACTTACTTTTCGACATCAGGTAATGTTTGTCCTTTGCACCTTGTCCCCCATTTAGACCAATACTTAAAACCTTCCTGATCGAAAACTTTAAGAGCACACAAACTGTCATCTTTGATATCTTCATCTAAGAGAGCTGAAATGAAATAAAGACAATGTTAATTTACATTTAATCCACACTTATATTATTGAAAAAAAGCAACAGTATTTTTGTATGTATATCTATACTATTATAATATAGCGTAAACACACACTTTTAGCACATTTTTAATAATTGTTTTTTCAATAAAGACCTACACTTACGACACGCTTTAGGCTATATATTTTCGCGCTATTAAATTTAGTGGATAAACAAATTGGACATTAATACTAATGTGGGAAAAGGACCATAAGTTGCTGTCAACATCAAGAAAACAAAATTTTTTAGGATTGTCATCATGTCATTTTGACATTTGCAATTGATAATTTGACAAATGTAAACGATAAAGTAAAGTTTTTATAATTACTTGCGGATGAAGCCGCATGGGAACAGATAATAACGAATGAAGTCAAAAACTACTGATCACATTTAATTTTTTTTCCACCATTAGAATGTTACGTTACATCTTAAATTGATAAAAAAAGTTGGAATTGTAACCATACTAATATTATAATGTTTGTTAGAGTTTGTAGCCTAAAGGACTGATTGGATTTCGATGTAATTTGGTACAAGATGTAGATGGTAGTCTGGTAGAAATAGACTACTCACTTTTGTTTTTTTTCATTCCACGTGGAAGGAATCGCTCGCGAAAGCTATTATAAATAAATGCTGAGTAATGTTTAAACCTCCCTTAGTTATTTATTTATTTACATAAGATAGACTCACCTTCACACGTAATATCACATTTTCCACCTCTGCGACCTTCTTTGCAAAATTCGCTTCCTATCTAAAAAAAACAGAATTATTATAAATGCTAAAGATTATGTGAATGGATGTTAGAGTTTTCCGCTTAAACTGCTGAACGGATCTCGATGTAATTCTGCATAGATGTAGAGGATATTCTGGAAGAACACATAGGCTACTGTCTGTTGTTTTTTTTTAATTCTACTCGGGCCAAAACAAATATAAACGTGTTTTAACTACGTACTTGGAATAATCCGTAATATTTCTTCCTTGGAGATTTTACAACAAGAGCAGCGGTGTTTCTGTCGCTTTCATGTTCGATCATGCACACCCCTGAAATATTAAATATTTTACACCAATATTATTTTATTGCTAAGTGAGAGACACCCTTGTTTATAAATGCGAAAGTTTAGATGGATGGATGTTTGTTAGAGTTTGTAGCCTAAATGGCTGCATGGATCTCGATGAAATTTGGCATAGACGTAGAGGATAGTCTGGAAGAACACATAGGGTTTTAATTCCACTCGGACGGAGTCGCGGGTAACAGCTAGTATTTTTATAAATAACGCTTTTCAAGTTGTGGGAACTTAATTAAGATTGCATATATCAAACATCTTGCTATTTTTTTTGAATGTGTAAATTTTTGTGTTAACCCTGAATAAATAAATATAAGTACTATGTACAATTTTACATTCAACTATTTACGAAATTCCCTAAAATGTTATTTCACGTATTAGTATAAAAATTAACTTACAGTTGCTAATAAAAGTTCTTGGAAAACTATTCCTTAGAAGTTCTTTTGTCAGTTGACATCTCGTGAACACTTTACATTCTGCAATTGAATATGTTATTGCAATTATCAATATAATACGTTTGGTCTCCATATTGTATTACGCCGACTGACATTTCCGCGATATTATCGATGTACTAGCTTCATTGAGGGGTTTCCCAAGTTCCACTTGTGTCAACATATAGTCATCCTTTATATTCTCCTTGTAAAAAGAGGGACAACGATATCTGAGATAAATGTAGTCGAAACACTCGACTTGACATTGAATTTCATTTCCTCTCCCTTTTGTTTGTTTCAAGGTTAGCAATTTTAAAGTGGATATGCATGTTGTTTTTACTATCGATAAACATGTGCCGCGCGATTTTGACTATTTTTTTATAGTATAAGGTGACAAACAAACTAACGACCAGTATTCGTGAATGTAGCGAAGTGACCAATAATCTGCATTTGCAGATGTGTTGCCTACTTAAAGGCGGGCGCACACCTTTCAATAAATTATTGAACAAAATATGTGCGATTGTCGATTGTTTCGCTGCCGTCAACTGTTTAGTTAACTAAAAATCGAGTAGTGTGCGTACCTCCATATCAGGTCATAGGAATCAAAGCGGGACTAAACAGTTGTGCGATAGTTCAGTTTCAGGTGCGAACGCTCTCAACAGAGGAGAGTACGCACTTAGTAGATATCTCCCCTTATCTATGCGTTTCTTTCGCCAAACTCTTTTCCATTTCGCATCTTTTTGACCGACTTCCCAAAAGAAAGAGGTAATCAATTCGACGATATGTTTTTTTCTAGTACGAAGAAGACTAAAATTAGGCAGGTAATCTCATTTAACGAAATGCGAAATTGCTTTCACTTGACGCCTGCAGTGGTCGTGGTATTTCACCGTTTAATTCATATAACAGATGTTAGGTCTATATTTTTTTTTACAACAAAAGGGGGCAAACGAGCGGTGTGAACACTTTTTTATTTATTTTACTTTTATTAAGTGGCATTTATCCCAGTAATAAAGAATAGGTAAGATATGCGACCGTTTTCAAATAATGAAGTAGACAGAGTTGGTATTAACATTTTATTTGAAGATTCGAGGATGGATTAACATTTATTTGAATACCAAATGTCTTTAAATTTGTGGGGCTTAAAGATCAATGAGGTCGTTTACGTTTTGAAAATAAAGAAAGAATGGAATCGATTGGAATAATTGGAATACGTAAAAAATAGGGACGGAAAATATTTTTGTTTTTTTTTTTTTAATTTCCTCACCGTTTGATTAAGCAAATATTTATTAGATTTAGAATGAAAACTATACGCATTGTTAAATTGATTAAGCCATGCTTTGACTATTGTGTAGGTCACTTGATTATTTGTACATTACACTGATAATATTTGAAACAAAAACATCGTCGAAATGAACATTTTAAAACAAATCATACTAATATTATAAATGCGAAAGTTTAGATGGATGTTTGTTAGAGTTTGTAGCCTAAACTGCTAAACGGATTGCGATGAAATTTACAGATATAGAGGATAGTCTGGAAGAACACATAGGCTACTCACTTTTGTTTTTTTTAATTCCACGCTGACGGAGACGCGGGTGAAAGCTAGTAGAAATATAAGTGAGTACTATAATACTTAGTGGTAAGGTTATATAAAAAATATATTGTTTTACCCCAAAATAAATTAGACACTGTTTTGTGAAACATGTGTTTTATCTGTCTGCCGCTAATCAATGTTATGGTTTTTAATATGATATTCTGTTTCTTCTTAAAGATATAAATCTCTCGGCTATTTATGAGTACTTTATTATTAGTAAGTTAAGGTCACATTTCGCAGCACATAATAATGTTTACAAATGCAACCTGCATATATCCGCGAATAAATAAAAATATGAAGTCAATCCGTGTATCGTGGTTTACTACGGCCTAGACACTTACTTATAGTAGGCTTCCAGACCTTCAGTGGAAGGTATAGTGAGCTGGTGGTGAAAAAAGTTTCAATAGCCATGATTTGATGTTAAGGTTGGTAAGATTTTAAGTTAGAACATAGACGTATACAATCATAGATATAACGCTGCGGTTACATTATGACGCATCTTAATCAGCTGTCAAAGTAATTAGTGCACACTGCGTTCTGAGTTAATTTACCCTGTCACTTGTCATATCATATGTCACTTGACATGTTCAGTAAGTTGATACTAAAATACAGTTAAGGTAACTTTAAAAGTATCGAAAATCAGACATCAAACTTTGCGCGTATAAGATACCTATTGAGGTCCTCTACTTCCAAAGCTTGTATCGTCTTTTAAGAATCATCCAATATTTCCTATCGTATTTTTATTATGTTACTTCTTACTAATATTAATGGAAATGTTTAGTTGGATGGATGAATGTTTATTACTATAACATACATCCAATAAAGATTAAAGAATCCAACGAAAGCCTAACATGTAGAATTTAGTCTTAAGGATCACATACACTACCTAAAAAAACGTTTGTTTTTTTATTTAAAATTAGCTTTTGTCCGCGACTCCGTCCGAGTAGAATTACAAAAACAAACGAAAGGAGCTTATGTGTTTTTTCAGACTATTTTTATATATATGCCAAATTTCATCAAGATCCGTCAAGGACTTTAAGCTACAAACTTTAACAAACATCCATCCATACATACAAATAAACTTTCACATTTATCATATTAGTACTATTTGACGTTTTTCCATTTAGTATTATTACAATTAAACAATAAAATATATGGATTTTTTGTAATTGTAGAAAACAATCGAAAAAAAAAAAACACGATGCCCCCTGTGAGGATTGAACTCACGACCCCTGGTTTACGAGACCAGTGCTCTGCCACTGAGCTAAAGAGGCGATATCAGTCCCCTTTGTAACTTCAATAAGGATGAGGAGCACAAGTCGTATTCGTTTTTCAAATATTTGTAAACATATGTAGGACAATCTTTGAAACGTTTTAATTTGTTTGCCACTAGCTGTTACTCGCGACTTAGACCGCATGAAATTAAAAAAATAATAAAAAAGCAGCCTATTTTACTTACTGATAACGTAACTTTTTAATGGCGAAAGAATTTTGAATTGTAATACATACAATAGTACAAATCTTCACCCTTTATAATATTAGTATAGGTCGTACAATGTGCTCATATCCGTAGTTCAACAATAAATTAGATTTTCATTAATACATTATTGTAAATCTTAAAAACACTACAGCCGGATTCTCGTTTCAGAATGTTAAACACTTTTGAAATTGAAATTTAAACGATACCGTTCAATTGTTACATATTTAAATGTCGTTTCAGTATTCTGCCGTTGCTGTTAGCCTAGTCAAATGTAGCAACGACGATCAATTAAAAACAATAGTTTTAATACCGCTTTCTAATAACATGCTGGTTTTATTTAAAGTTATACTTTTAATGATAATAGAGGCTTTGTAATTTTTTTAATATTTATATGAATAAAATGATATAACGAACTGGTTTTTAGATATTAAAAATCTCGGCTCACGGAATACAAAGGAATAATCACCCACGAGCTGAAATATAAAACATTCATATTTCAATTTAAATATAGACGTTAAATACACCGATGGCAGCCATTTTAATTAATTAAGCCTGCTTGTAAAATCGCATTTTTTTCCCACTGTTAATAATTATTTTAATGAGGTCGCTTTCGTAGTTTCATTATTAGATTTTGTTTGTTAATTATGTCGGTTACTGATGTTTTCTAAAACGTATTTATTTAAATACCGCAATACGATGGGAAAGAGGGACTTTTGTTTTATATGTCCCTGGATATAAGGGCGGGAATACACATGGCATTAAAACGGTGTAGCCATGCCACCTATTGGAACATGCCAAATACTGGTGGTATGTACACATGCCAGTGAAATTTTTATGAAATCGTATGAAACGAGACATACATAATGCAATTTCATAAAATCATTTCGTGCTAGTTACTTGTATGACCTACATTCCTGTGCTATACGATTCGCAGCCGGAGACCTGGATGTAGAAGAAGAGTCTATCAGGCTCTCTTGCACCCTCTATGAGCAAGGCGTGAACGGCGATAACATATATAATATGCACAGTTGTCAATACCGCGGATTTGGTGGAAGGTAGTCTTGTGCGTTGGCGGTCATGGGAATAAACGGAACTCGTACAGAGTTGATGCCGTCAGGATCACGGTAGTATGCGAGAGCGTTCCCGTGTTCCTGATGTATGGCAGGAACAGGACATCGTGGGGTTTTAGTTGGTGTAAACCCGACATAACCACCCTTGTACCCATAAGAGTGACATGTGTAGGCATTTCCCCGCGTTAAAAAAAGCATATATTTACTGGCATGTGTATGCCTTGAGGGTAGTTACAGTCGGTTGGACTTCATTTGTTAACAATTGTCTGAAGCAGGATTTATTAATACTGGAAACGAAAATAATTTAAAATAAACAAAACTAATAGTAAATTATTCAGAAAACTCGAAGCTTTCGTTTTCTTTTAGCTAGTTCGTATTTATCCTTCGCAAATTATGTCGAGCATCGGTTTTTGTTAAGTTTCACTTGGCTCGAGTTTGACGTACTCCAAGTTGGCTGGTCAAATAGTTAAGACAACTCCCAGGAGAATTCACTGATTACTTCGGCTGACTGTTTATAGTTGAAACTCGTTTATGCTGCGGCAACAAGTCTAACTAGTTTGTTTCATTTTCAACTTTTTGATAGTGTTTTTTTTTATAAATATTTGTAGAAGAGAACTAACAATAAATGTTGGATTGTAAACTGTTGAACTAGTTTTAAAGAAATTTGGCATAGATATACAGCATAGTGTAGAAGAACGCATTAGATACTATTAACTACCTTATTCTTAAATTTAACGCAGATGGATTCGCGGGCTAAAGCTGTCTCTCTCTCCGGATCATTTCCTCATTCCTGAGGGTCGCGACCACTCTCCTTTACCCTCTCTCGAAGGGTGTTTCTCCACTCTGTGCGAGCTAAATCTAAAACTAGTTGGTCTATTATTTAAACGCTTAATTTATGGCGTACCTTACTAACATCTCATGGCAACCTAGATGCAAAGAAGTCTTTTACCCTT